GCTTTCGAGCCTATACAGCTTGGAGTAAGACAACATGCATGAAGAGGATGATGTGGACAAAATACTCATTTGCCTAATAATTCTGCACTCCCTGTATGACAAATATATGCCCGTACTGTCTGGTAAATAAATACAGCGTCAAACTGCATGTGTACATGATTGAAAAACATCCAAATCTGCAGAGGTGTGAGAAGGTTTTGAATGAGATTTCAGAGGTTTTCATAGACCTAAAACCTTCTGCAGCTTTCCCACGACCACCCTCCAAAACACAACACCATGTTGTATTCCTGCAGCAGCTGGTGCGAAGAAACGTCTATAATATAATGAATCTGAATAAAATATTAAAAACTGGACAGCACTGAGCATGCATTACCAATGAAGGCAGACACATATCTAAACGCTGGATCAGCTTAACGATGTGTTTAGCCGCTGTGTACAGAATGCAGCCAGCTACTTTTTAATTTCAGTATGTCACAAAGTGTAATTAAAAACAAAACAAAACATAAGGACACGAGTCAAAGAGAATAACTAACTAAGGCTAATATAAAAAAAAAAAGAAAAAGAAACTCTTAACACTAGAAACAAATCAGTGCGCTTCTTCTTCGGTCTAGTTAACTGGGGTTAAACGAATGTACAGCCTTGTTACTTTTTTATGTGTCGACTATGTAAAGAAGTAAAGAACAAACTGCTACCTACCCATTATCTGGCCTGAAAAATAGGTAAAAATAACAACAAGGCATTAACAAGTTGAACTTGCGCGAGCCACGCGCTGGCTGTTGCTATGGATACGACGTAACTACACGTAGAACGTCCAAAGATCACCACGACGTTAGCCAGCGCGAGCACCGGATACTTGATTGTCTACCAAAATAAAAGCAGCCACCTTGGAGACCTTTGTTTCATTTGACACGCACTACCACGTTTAAAGCGGTTACTTATTTGTGAAACCGTTTGCTTTGTTGCTATAGCAGCTTTGTTTTAACCTCTTGAGCAACACTTAAGACAACTGCTTATTCCATGTTTTGGGCAGCTGGAGTGTGCTGAAGGCACATAGGGTACTTTAAGTTAGTTTTAACCATAACCATACTTATTATGTATACATGGCTATATTTTGAAATAAAATAATATCAGCATAATACGTAAGTTTATTACTAAAGCAAGTATGACTACAATAAAAAAAAACACAAATATTAAATGCATAAACAGACCAGCTGTGTCATGTTTCACATGGGCAAGTTTGTCAAAAAAAGAAAAAAAGAAAAGAAGCAAAACTACTGATACTCTGTGTGATTCAATTACAAACTTTAACCTAGTTACCACACGAAGCTGCCTTCACTCATTAGCACCACACAGGAAGGCGACACTGGCGTTGATCCCCTCATGTAGGCCTAATCTGAGACCATAGAAGTAATGGGTCACTTTTAAAGGACATACTTGAGTTATTGTGTGTAAAACAGCGACACGCACAGTGCCCTGAAGTCACATTATCCGAGCTTTTCCTGCTCGCATGCACAGGTCACACACTCCATGCGCTGTTTGGGATGTGTGCATGTAGTTCATTGCCTCAGAAGTAATGCGAAATAGCGGCCAGACATTCCCGCAGGGGGTCGGCTTTTACAGGACACATTGTTTCATAGTAGTAAATGGTTAACAAATGTCATTGGACCTACATTTGCGCCTTATCCTGTGACATCATTGCTGTCATCTTTGTATTTTTCCCCGTGACTGATGGAAAATTGTGAATGCCGTCTTTCCTAATAGAGATTGAGAGCGTGAGGCAGGGTGAGATCTCTGGTCTGATTTTATTTGGGATGCGTGCCGCACTATTTATGGACCCATCAATGAATCGTGCAGACTCAGTCGCTCTGATGCAAATTGCATTCGCCCACTTAAGTCTAGCCTACCTCCCTTCCGTGCCTGTTTATCTGCCTCGGCAGCAGAAAGAAAGTGGGCGGGGGGGCGAGTGGTGATCGTGACAAAAGCGGGAAAGGATGTACTCAAGCAGAGACAATAAACCTCTCACCCTACCGTAACAAAAATGAGGAGACAGAAGACGCACCTCCTCTTTGTCTCTGCTACTGACCAAATCCCCAAATACCCCCCATGGCAAGGGCATGAAAATAAGCACAAGAGCACAAAGTGACCACAGCTGAGTCCTTTGTCACGTCACGAGTTATTGCTTCACGTGTATTTAAACTCTGCCATAACTGTCCATCTACAGGAGCTGATCTGCTAATTGAACCCCTAATTTCCTTCGGGATTAATAAAGTATTCTGATTCTGATTCTGAACCCAGCCAAAGTTAACTGGCCAGAGCTGTAATTTATAATATATTAACAATAAGACTAATAATCATTCTCTGTCATAACTGCCTGGCTTACCCTTGAACCGCATTTGAGGCGGTCTCTGTGGCAAATTAACCTAATTCGGTAAGGTGCTTCCAGTGTTTTTAGGGGCTCTGAGCCTGCAGGGACCGGGAGCTTGGCGTCTATTGAGTCTGTTTCCGGCACGCTATGCTGTGTGGGCAAGTGTATAATGAAGCATGCTGAGTGTCTGCTTGCGTGCGTACGTGTGTGTGTGTGTGTGTGTGTGTGTGTGTGCAGTGAGGGAGGAAGGAGAGGGGAGGGGCGACAGGAGAAAGTGCGTGTGTGTGCGTCTATCTGTGCGTGCAAGTAAAGAAAGGAGGAGGGGTGAATATGACCCACTCTTCTTTTTTTGGCACGAAATGACTAATATTGTCACGCCTGACATATTTAGGCTAGGCAGCAACAAATAAATAAATAAATTAAATTAAATGTCGAGGCCAAATACGCAGGTGGAACTCACCAAAAGACCTTGCCAAATGGCCAAATGTGCCACAGACATAACCACAGGCTTTTATTTTCATGTTTTGGGATATAACTTTTGTGAAATAAGCCAAACATTCCCATCCCACACACTTTTTTCAGTGGATACGTGAGCAGCTTTGTTTGTTTTGTTTTTTGTTCCTCCTCATCACGCATTGTCAGCTCCGTGTAAACGTAAGACATGTCCACCTGTTATCTTGCGTCATTGTGGCTGGCTCTCCTGCCCAGTTTTGTCAACCATCCACTCACTTGTTTCCTCTTTGAGTAAGAGAAGAAACCCCCATGTGTGATTCACGAAAGATCTGCAGAATACTTATTTGTTAACTTTCCCCACATAGGAGACCCGGAACGAAAATCGCAGTTAAAGCCCAGTTTTGATTTAAATAATCTTCCTTTAGCAAGCCCACTCTGAGTGGGCAAACATCATACTAAAACATTACCAAAAAGTAATAGAGAAAACAAATCATCTCCTTTGTTAGATGGGTATAGCTTTGTCTTAGCTGTGGCGTTACTGTAAGCTAAGGCAGTTGATGCTTCCATTGTCAGTCAGAGGCTCACATTTGGTTGACTTGCTGTTTATAACTCAGTTGCTATTACATTGTACACCAGTTTCATATTTGGTGATGATGTCCCTTAAAATCCCAAAACCTTGACAGATGCTGGCCCAGATATAGGCCTAGAGTCTCTCTCTCTCTCTCTCTCTCTCTCTCTCTC